TGAAGACAAGAAATTCATTTGCCAACAGGTTTAATGGTCTTGGGTATGGAGTGAAACTACAAAAAAAACAATAGGATACATAAATAATATGTTCAGAAGTTAACAAAACTACAGAACCATAGCATTTACATAAAAATGCAGAGTGCTTTGTAGTAAGTAATATCTTTTCTTATGTAAATACAAAATACTGAAATATAAAGCTAAAGCAAATTGTGGCTAATGTATTAGCTCTGCCGATAAGCTAAGAAGTCACTCTTAAGCTCAATTATTCATAAAACATACAAGTATAATGAACACCTTATACAATCAAAAACGTACTTACAAGCGATGCTGTTGCAAGGGGTAAGATTACAGAAAAACATGACGATTGCTGATCACCATAGTCATTGCCGTGTGCTTGCAGCACTTTACTTCCTGATTTAAGTGAAGAGCAGGATTTACCTTGCTATAACTTAAGATCACCACTAGATGAAACACTAACCATTTACAAAATGAAACCAAATCACTACTTGAAAGAATTACCCGTGCAATACACAATAATTATCTTGCCAAAATAAAGATTAAACATTAATTCTGCTTTCATCAAATATGTTCCAGCACATGTCGTTTTGTTTGTTTGTTAGATTGTTTAGTGTTGATTTCAAATGCAGTAAATCGGTTAATATAACATTAAAACTTGTAGTAACAGTGCTTATAATTGGTGTGTACGACTAAATTTTGGCTGGTCCTAACTTTAGTTTCCCGCGGAACAGCAGCGGGAATGCAGAGAGCTGTAATCGGGCCATAAAATTATACCCGATAGGTCCCGAGTCCGACAGGTACATTTTGATTGACAGCTTTATACAGCCCAAACCCGTTTACAGCCCGGCATTATTCAAATGTGCTCATGCACACAGCTCGTATGCTTTTTTTCAAGAATGAGTCATTTATATGTTTTAACAGCATTTATTCGTAACAAACGTAGACTATAGACCACTTGGAAGTTGGAACAAAGAAATAAAATAAGTCCTCTGTAACATCGTAACATCTCAGCACTCTACTTTGCCTATAAATTGGCCAACACAACAATGAAAAGTAATCTTGCTTAACAAATCAAATTAAAATAAACTCTAAATAATGGCGGGTATTTTGGCAATAACGAAATTAAGATAAAGGCTGTGCAAGATGTGTTTCTCCATTTCTCTTCACAATCTGGCATTAAGGCGGCGGTGAAGCTGAATATTAAAAGAATAATGCCACCATTAGTCTGTATACTCTGTCTACATTATGATTATATGGTTTAATTAATATTTATTTATAATTGAAAAACCCTGTACTCACCATGATTAGGCTACGTGTGTTTGTGGAGGAACATTATTAAATCCACTGGCTTTAGCGCAGTCTCTCACTCATGGTGCGTCCAGCAGCTGAACACCCTTTCCTGCGGCTACAGGTCGAGATGCAGAGTTCTGATCTGGCTGATTTTGCATTCAAAAGTATTCATTATTATAACTTTTGTTTACTTGTAACACAGATTTCTTCATTTAAACAACATACCCACAATAAACTATCAAGATACTGGCTTGACAGCCATATTTATTACAGAAATAAAAACACAGGCATGTTAATGACATTTGAATTTAAAAACAATCAATGACTAGGGATGTAACGGTATCAGAATTTCACGGTACGGTAATACCTCGGTATGAATGTCACGGTACGGTATTTATTGAATCATTTACAGTAAAAAACAAAACTTTTGAAAATACTCCAAAAAAGTGCCAAAAGTGTCAATGACATACAAATTAGTCATCTATCTGTTAGCTTTGAAACAGGAACTTCAATTTTAATAACAAAAAAATATTAAACCATGTAAAAAAATAAAGTTTCAATTTAGTATTGTTGAAAACTCATCACATTCAACATTTAATCACTCACTCACTTAGATAGAGATGGGTTTTAAGGAAAATGATCATATAACTATAATCTGGTAAAAGCTGGTATCTCTGAGTATTTACAATGTCCCCTGCAACAGAAAAAACCCCTCTCATTTGGGACTGAGGATTCTGGGACAGAGAGATATGACTTGGCCCAGGTTGACAGCAGTGGGTAACGTTGTGCATTGTCTTTCCCCCACTTGAGAGGACAAGCCATGAGTGAGATAGAGGTCTCTTTGCGGTACAAGTCAATGTCTGCATCAATCTGAGCAGTGTGCTGTGTTTCTGCAGTCCCCATGACTGTTTTTAGTCGTATTGCCCAACTTGCAGGCACGTGCACACATAGGGCTCAACCTGTGCAGTGCACATGCCCTTTTTAGTCTTGGATAGAAAATGCCCTTCCAAAATGATCAAAAGTGCCCCCGCGACGCGACACAACCTCCGTCCAGCCCTTCAGTAGGCGCACGACAACACCGCTCTTGAGTGCGCGCTCAACCCCCCTCCCCGCTTTACAGTACGCGCGCGACAACACAGCTGATCAGAACGCACGCGACAACACCGCTATTCAGTACACGCACGGTGACAACACCGCTATTCAGTACGCGCGCGCCGACAACACCGCTATTCAGTACGCGCGCGCCGACAACACCGCTATTCAGTACGCGCGCGCCGACAACACCGCTATTCAGTACACGCACGGTGACAACACCGCTATTCAGTACGCGCGCGCCGACAACACCGCTATTCAGTACACGCACGGTGACAACACCGCTATTCAGTACGCGCGCGCCGACAACACCGCTATTCAGTACGCGCGCGCCGACAACACCGCTATTCAGTACACGCACGGTGACAACACCGCTATTCAGTACGCGCGCGCCGACAACACCGCTATTCAGTACGCGCGCGCCGACAACACCGCTATTCAGTACACGCACGGTGACAACACCGCTATTCAGTACGCGCGCGCCGACAACACCGCTATTCAGTACGCGCGCGCCGACAACACCGCTATTCAGTACACGCACGGTGACAACACCGCTATTCAGTACGCGCGCGCCGACAACACCGCTATTCAGTACGCGCGCGCCGACAACACCGCTATTCAGTACACGCACGGTGACAACACCGCTATTCAGTACGCGCGCGCCGACAACACCGCTATTCAGTACGCGCGCGCCGACAACACCGCTATTCAGTACGCGCGCGCCGACAACACCCGCTTTAGGTTGCGATCATTTCCAGCTCTTTTTTATCCCCGCTTCTAGCAGCACACTCCATTTCCGCATTACTGGATCTGTAGCGACAACAGACCGCACAGGATTATGGCCACGCATGGGCTGATGGGAATTGTAGTGTCCGCTACCTCCCGTTCGCTTCATTCGCCTGAGCAAATTTTCTCAGAAGACCTATAGTTTTACCGAGTCATGCGACTACCGTAATATCGAAAAAAATTGCTATTGCGGTATGACGGTATTTACAATACCGTTACATCCCTATCAATGCCAATAAAGAAAACATTGATTTCCATGTTGGATTCTAAGTGGACTGCAAAAAAATTCCAAAATACAGGAATTGCAGATATGGAAAACTATAATAATAATAATAAAGTATTGAAAATCTGTGCATGCCCTTGGATAGGTTTACCCACTCCCATTCTATAAAAGCACAAAAGCCATATATAGGAAATAACGAGAGTTGACATATTAAAAAAACTACTTTTTTATTTATTTTTTATTAAGATAAAATTATTATCCAGACTGGAAATGTGTGTGCCTGTGTGTTTTGAGGGAGCCTGATAAATAATGAACATAACAAAAACTGCCTGCTGACGCACACAGTTAATGTTGATTAATAAAATAAAGATAAATAATAAAAGCAATGTGTCAGAGACCGTTAAAAAACATGTTTAACTCAACAATGAAACATCAAATGTAGCTAACAGCTTTTACATTGTCCATCAAATGAACTTAAACAATTAAAAAATGCAACAAATATTTGTTTGGGCAGAACTACAAAAATAAATGTAAAAAAAGTTGCTTAAGTTGCACACTAGTTTGGTCATGTATAAATATCATTATATTAACCATATTGTATAAATATTATTGTCACTATAAGCCTACATCATGCTGAGGATCAAAAACACAATGTCATGATATCTCCTGCGCTTGTCTTCTGACCGAGTGCATCTTAAAATACATGAATGACCCCTCATAGATCGTACTAAGCAGACATACTTTATAATTAGTAAAATAAAGACTTGCAGGTAAAGGAAACAGCAGGAGGAAGTTGCCGCGGATGTGGTGCAGATTAAACATTTAAAAAAGTATATGTATATGGACAGATAGGTAACTAGATAGAATAGACAGGAATATATTGATCTGTGCCCCACTGCAGAGTTCAGACAGACGCAAAAGCCTGCTCTCCTGCGGGGCGGACCTGCGCGTGAGAAACAGGCGGGACTCGCGGCTATTTTGACGAATACACAACTACGTTACACAGAGCCCAACATGGAAGTTTGTGATTGGGTCAGCCCAATGTCAATAAAGAAAAGAACCAATGGGCTGCAGATTATGTCACCCGGCTCTGTCCGGAAAAGAAACATCTTACTCTCAGAGCGTGACAGACAGCTCACAGCACCGTCAATCACTGAGGCAGAAAGACATAACAGTCTGCTGAGTGTATTATGGGCCGATCAGATCATAAGAAGATGATCAGCCCGGCCCAAAAAGTACGTCGAAACAGCGGGAAACTGCCGCGTCTGCCCCTGGCCACAACAGGAAAAAAAAAATGCGTTAATTGCGTTAATTTTTTTAAACGCGTTAATTATTTCAAATTAATCGCATGCGTTAACGCGTTAATTTTGACAGCACTAATATATATATATATATATATATATATATATATATATATATATATATATATATATATATGTGTGTATGTATATATATGTATGTATGTATGTATATATATGTATGTATATAAAGAAAGAAACCTTATTATTACTTTGTTAAAATTTAAATTTTCAGTGCGAGTTTTTTTCATCATTTGCTGAATGTCATTTTTTTGTGTTTGGTTTTGTAGGTAGAAGGGGAAGCTTTGAATTACAACCTCCAAATTGTAAGTATAATCATACTGTATAAATGTCCATCATTTTTATGTAGTAATAATAATAATGTTTGTTATAATAGTGTAGTGTACAATGCTAGTTTTTGCTTTGCTTTTTTTTGTCTTATCCTTTCATGTTTGTACAGTGTCTTTTAGGAGGATGGTGTTGGTTGGAAAGACTGGAGCAGGTAAAAGCTCTTCTGGAAACACAATCCTGGGCAGAAAAGCCTTCAGAGCTGTTAGCAGCGGTTCTACTGTGACCAAAGATTGCTGGAAGGAGACTGCAGAAGTGGCTGGAAGAGGAATTACTCTGGTGGACACTCCAGGTCTGTTTGACTGGAATGTTTCAGAGGAATATCTGAAGCTGGAGATCAGTAAATGCATTAATATGACGGCTCCTGGACCTCACGCCATCATCCTGGTCATCCAGCTCGGCCCGTTCACTGAAGAAGAGAAACTCTCGGTGGAGAAAATCAGAGCTGTGTTTGGAGAAGGAGCAGATAAACACACCATCATCCTCTTCACACACGGAGATGAACTGACCAGCACCATTGAGGAATACATCAGAAAGGCTAATGAGGACCTGAAAGAAATCATCAGACGCTGTGGAGGAAGATATCACGTCTTCAACAATAAAAGCATGGAGGATCGTGGTCAGGTTCTGGAGCTCCTGGAGAAAGTAGACGCTCTGGTCACTGCTAATGGAGGCCAGTTTTACTCCAGTGACTCTTACCAGGGTGTGGAGCTCATGCTGAAAACTAAAGAAGAAGAGCTCAGACGAGAATATGAGCAGAAACTGCAGGACAAACAGAGAGAACTGGAGGCCAGATTCACTGAGGAGAAGAGGATCCTGGAGGAGAAAATACAAACGCTGACAGCATCAGAGCAGGAGAAAGAGGAGAAGATCCAAGAGTTAGAAAGACTGAATGAGAGGAACAAGAATAAAATGATTGAGTACCGGCGATATTACATGGAAAAACTCAGAGAGGCCAGACTGGAGGCAGAAGAGACTCGCATTAATGAGAGAAAGTTGACAGAGATCTTTACCATGTTACAAAGCCTGCATCTCTAATCATTCATATATTTATCAAGTCAGATCTAATTTACATTAATATGTCTCAGTTTTAAAATTGCATTTTAGAATGAAAAAGGTCCACTGGCGTTTCATCTAGCATTTCTGAAAAGACCTCCATCCACACTGCACCACTTAAAACACACATCACGTGACCACACACACACACACTCTCTGGCTTTTGCTGAAGTGTAGTCAGCGAGTGATTTAAGCACACCTCCCCGGGTGAGAGCATCGCATGTCAGACAGTTTATCAAGGATGTATCGCTGGATGGCATCTCACTGTAGATATTAAAGTGATTTAATCCATCTTGTCTATCTTATGACCCTTCAGTCTTTTGAATCTATTAGCTAACTTGTTTTGGCTGAAAACAATGTAACATATGCTAATTCTGTATATTGACTGATTGTTTGCCTTTATTTCCTATAATGTATAAACTTAATGTATGCTATAATTTTATAATGGCCATTATTGATTATTAAAACTGATATACAATAAAATACAAGGTATGATTAATATTTTACAATGAAAATGAAAGGAGGCAGTGATGTTATAAGCTCTGTTTTGTTATAAGTATGCATACAGTGATGATTACGCTCATGTAAATATGCAGCTACACGACACCTCAACATTTCTGCTGTCTGTTAAGTTGCTAATATCAAAATGAAAATGGCAGTGTCTCATATCATGTCTTCATGTCATTGTTGAGATGTTAAACACTGTAGCCAGGGTGATGTGAATGACTCTCTGGAGTTTGTTTTTCATATCAAACTTTTCTGAACTTACAAGGAAAGGATGCAAGACTGAACTTTGTGCACTCATTACTAAGAAAAAACCCAATTAGATAGGTGAATGTCTGCAGTCACGCCTCGGTTTTTAGATGTTTCCGTTTTCCCTCATTTCACACTGAGACGCAGCAGCAGCGTTTTAGAATGAAAATGGCCTCTACAGCGTTTGCAAAACGCTCTGTTTTTATGACTTACAAACTCTGGCGGAACCGTAGCAAAGCTTAGCAAAACGTTTTTAAACAAAGTATTTGTGTAAAAGGGGCCTCAGACAATTGCAGCTCATCCAGAATGCCGCTGCCAGGATTCTGACCAGAACCAGGAAATCGGAGCAATAGATGTTATATTATTACTTCTATTAATCACTAAATGACCTCAATACATTACAGATATGCTCACTAAATACAAACCTAATAGATCACTCAGATCTTTAGGATCTTAATACTAGGGTTAGGATCAGCTTCCAGAAGGGTTTAGATGTGCTCCAACAGTAGAAATATTTAAATTAAGACTAAAATCAGAATAAAGAATTTCTGTTCCTTTACTTAATGCATTGTATCTGCTTCTAATTGTGGGCAGATAGTTGCTTTAAGGACAAACTTTATATTAACTTATTAAGATGTTGTCCATTACTGTGCAGTCCTTGATTATTATTATTATAAGTACTCGTTGCATAAAAGCTTCAACACGTGTTGTTGACAAACATGCAGATATGCTTATATTCTACTTTTTTTTCTCTAATGATTGTGAAAGGCTTTAAAAATGTTGTCCATTTCATTAAGACAAGTGAAAGATGTAATGATTTTTTTTTTTTTACAAAATACAATAAAACTCACAAATACAATATATATAGAAATGTGTTGATTAAATATTTTAAAGAATTTGAGAACAAAGTCTACAGGCATCTCCTGCTGATTTCCTTTATGTGTTGCTTTCAGAAATCTCTTAGAATATTGACGTGTTGTAAACATTTAAAGAAGCTTGCGCAGGCGGTAAATCACAGATTCATTAATGTTTTTAAAAGTTAATACTGCCAGTAAAAGAAGAAGGCCACACAAGTGTAGTTTGTTTGGTTTTTTGACAGAAAAAGCCAATGACATGATGTGGTGAGAAGGGTTGTTAATCAAATTATATAAATAAGGTGACAAAGGACACATGCATAGTTGGATCAAGGAATTTGTATTAGCGAGAACAATAATAGTTAAATGAATGAATGAAAATGCAACTCCACACCGAAGTGTGTGTAAGCCCATAATGTTTTCCATCTTTTTCATCACTTTATGCTGATGATGAGGCAATTTGGAAAAGGGAAAGGAATATTGATTTTATTAAGAAAGTTACAAGAGGGAAGTATAAAAAGTATATATAAAATAATAAATATATTGTTTATATATAACAAATATGTTTGTAAAAGGGCAAATTGGAAGTGAGACAAAACTAAAATTACACAATCAAGAACTAGAAAACATTTTAAGTTTTTAGGAATTTTGTTTGATGAGAGAATCTCATGTATAGAGCATATTCAGAAAATAATGAGCAAATGTAGGAGTGATAAATATAATGATGTGTTTGGTTTTTAGTAAATGGGGCAGACAGGAAAGCATTAAATGTCATAGTGTGGATTATGTTAGATTATGGTTGTGTAGTGAATGGGTCAGCAGCTGAAACATAGGACAATAAATATGTTTACATTGATTACAACACTATTAAGTGAAGTTTATTCATAAACTAATTTCGAGAGGAGCACGTGATTATGATTGAACACTGCTGGTTCTGCATTAGCATGCATGATCCACCAATCAAGTCATTCCTAACCCACTATAAAGAGCCAGGGTTTTCTCACTACAGTCATCTTCGATTTGAAGAATCTCCCACCCCTACCTCATCACCTTTCTCTCCATAGGGCAGCACGGTGGCCCAGTGACTAGCACTGTTGCCTCACAGCAAGAACGCAACCAGTTCTAGGTCTTTAAAGAGCATATTGTATGTTAAAAAACTATTTCAAAAAAAGGTAGAATCGTTTGTGAAAATACTCTATAATACCATAAAATACCATATTAAAATGTTTTACAAAGTGCAAGGGCACACATTTTAAAGAAAATGTGTCTGTTATCCCACTTCCGCTTTTATTTTCTAACCACCCCGGTGACGTCAGTGGAGGGACTTATCTGACAGACGCGCGCTGTTTACCGTGGGGCAGAGGATCTAATAGCAGAACTGGTTGTTAGTTTTGACGTAATTTATTATGAAGGTATTTTTGGTGCAAAACTCCCAAGCAGCTGTAAAAGTGTCATTTGTAGTTGTAAAAAATAGCCACACATGTGTATCAGTAAATTTGTACTCGCAGAGCAAATTTGCAAATGCGTATCAGTAAATTTGTACTCGCAGAGCAAATTTGCAAATGTGTAGGTATTTTTTGTCTCCAACAAACACAACGCAACATTTACACCTGCACAAATTCTTCAGTACAGGTGCACAAATCCCATCGGACGAATCACAAATGCAGAAACTCATCCGCTCATGTTCTTTGCTACTATTGTTGCAGTGAATATGGTGCAAAACACATTCACACACCTGCATCCAGAAATGTGAAGTCACAGACAAAACTTGCACATCTGTAGATTAGAATGTGTATCCGCACAAAGAGAGCTGAACGTGTGTAGAATGTTTGATTATTTTTTTCTAAGCACGAACACAAATATGTTCCTGCAACTGCTCAAATCTGCCGCTACGAGTCTCAAGCGCTGTTTTTCACTTGCAAATCTACATTTCGCTCTCTCGCTCTTCTGCACCAAAAATCACTGTGACATTTGGTGCAAAAGTTACTTGTGTATCTGCCAACCAAAACGTGGGCTCTCAGAGAAATTCAGCCAATAGGGGATGGGGCGTGACGTCACCGCTCTAGCGCTGCGGAGGCTGAACGTCGAAACCGAAACCCCCTTTGCGAGATTCGCTGCATCTATACCAGATTTGCGTTCAAAAATGCCTGCTTAATTATTTCATAGTAGGAGCAAACATGCCTTAAGAAAAGGAGTAGGTTTGAAACTTTAGTAACCATAAAAAGTACGCCAGGTGGATGCCTTTCTACTCCAGGAAGCCGCAGCCTACGGCCTGAAGGAGGAAGAGGACGCGGTCAGTTTGAAATGTGAGTATTAAACCAAAGACAGTTCTTTGTGTTAAACTCGTATTTGTTGAGCTACTGTACAGTGCACTGTAGAATTGCTGAGGGTGTAAAGAGGCTTTAAATTATAGTCTATTTCATTTCGCTGTAAATGTTGACTGTGTAATGTTACGGTCTCCAATCAGCACATATAAAGTAACGTTTCAAAGGTAAAAAAAGATTATTATCAAATGTCTGACAGAAAAATGTGAAGTATTGCAGATCACAAGACTAAACAGACATCTGAGTGAGTGATGTATTTGTGCTGATGTAGAATCTGCTGTCAATTGACTGTTGCCAATACTGTTTAAATTAGATACATGTATTCTTACTAAAAGAGAATAAAGGGTCATTTGTTTAATCTGTGCATCAGTATATAGTTGATCACTTGAGTAAGGTTTGTGTTACATCAGCAACTACACCAACATGTTATTTGAGCATGTGAATCAGAGGTGATTTATTCTAGTCTTTATGTTACAGGGAGGCTTTTATTGAGTACAGTACAGAAACTACAAAAACATATTTTACATTTGCTATTTATTATTAGTTATTGTATTTTCAAACAGTGTTTACATTAGCTTTCTGATTACTGGTGTGTGTGTGCTTTTTCTGCAGAGCTGAATCGATGACATCCTGATAGCAGCAATACAATTAAGGTACGTTTTCATTGCTTCATTTTTTAAAACCACTTATAGTTGTACAGTTTGATGTTAGTTTAAATATAACTATGTTAGTGATCAGTATTCATACCTAGGATAACAATTCTTGTTTTACGAAAGGTAACTTGGCTTGCTTGCCCTAATGTCATGTTTGCTATTTAGTCTTATCACATAATATGATTAAACTATTTAATTCATAAGCTATATTTATTTTAGAAAAATGGCAGACCAGGGTGCATCCAATGCATTGAGGTGAAGTTGGTTTTATAGTTGCACATTCTGACTTTCTTCTTAATAATTTAATTTCAGAAAAAGATTTTCAAATTCTATATAGGGAAATCATATTAGCAGCCAATGACTATCAAAATACAGCACTGTCCACAGTCAAATAAATATTAGTTCTAATGTTGTTTTGAAGTCATTCAGACCAAATATTTAAAGTACCATGGTAAACAATATAGGGACCATTAAAATGTTTAAATGCAAATATAAACCATCTTTACCTTAATAACTAACGCTACCATGTTTTATGATTCATTTTACACTCCCAAAAATGTATGTTTACTTAACATTTTTACCAAGAATGTATTGCTAGTAATGATAAATGTGGACAATTAACTAAGTAAATCTACTAGTAGTCACTAGACAATGCATCTTATTTTCTTACATTTCTGTTAAACAATGGAAATGCATACAATATTGAAAGAATTATCATTATTTATTGAAAACAAACAGAAACATAATTATATTATTAAAAGAATGAATATGAGTAATCATGACAAATAAATACAAGTCACCAACACATGAAACCAAGCTTTATTCTAACAGTGATGTATTACAGACAGAAGCCCATGTTTTGCTGTATCTCCACACAGCTGGGCCAGTTCTTCAGATGATCAGAGGGACTTCGCCATCATCACATCCCTCATTGCTGCAGTCAGACTGAAACAGGACGGTGATGCATGGCAGTCCATGCCCGAGATACGGATGATGAAGAGACCACAGCAACATCTGGGGCCTCATGTATCAACGCTGCGTACGCACAAAAACTTTGCGTACGCCAGGTTTCACGCTCAGAATCGCTCACGTTTGGATTTACTAACAATGAACTGAACGTGGGAATGTGCGCAGGTTCACGGCAGCTTTTTGGCAGGCGTACACACATTTTTTGTGCGTGTCTGTTTTATTTCCATTGGCGACTCCTAGAGGCAGTTGTGTTAAATTCTTCTCTACAAAGTGTCTGATCCTTGCAATGGCAGCTGTATGAGACGGGTTCATCTAGTAGGTATGTAAGATTTCCATACCATACAGTTGACCAGCTAAACATTAAAGCACAATTTGCAGCGGTCGCCTGTCTTCCCAATGTAATCTGAGCGATCTACTGCACGCACATTGCTATATAGACACTATCTGAAGATGAATTTGCAAGCGTGAATCAGAAACATTTCCATTCAATAAATGTGCAAATAAAATATGATGCACAAACTTATTGATGATTCCTACTTGTCTTTCTCGTGATAAATAGTGGGCAAAATCTGATATGTAGCGGGGGAAAAAAGAAGAAAGAGATCATCAGACGCTGGATTCGAGCCGAGTTCATGCTCGAACGTGTCAAAACATGATCACATGCGTCTTACGAGCGTGCCACTGAGACTGTTCAGAGTGCTGCAACAGTTTACAGATATAAACCAGACTATGTTTTTTTAAATGCACTCAGTGCGATGTTCAGACCCAACTGTGTTAACCGTATCAGCTAAACTCTCCCACTCTATTTTTTTTTCTTTTGTTGTTAATTCCGAAAAACAAACTTGCAAATAACACCGCTTTTCTCCGGTCTACCTCCGAAAGCAGCACCTCCATTTCACATTCTGTTCAAAGTTTCTCTTTTTGCTTGCTTTTTCCATTGCTTTTTCGTTGGGTTTTGCCATTAGCATAGTCATTAGCATATTCATACGGGGGAGGAGGCAGGGAGGGGTTTTGTGCTCGTGCATGTTGCGCTCAGTTTCACGTTCATTCAGATGTACAAAAGAATATGCGTGAGATTCGGCGTACGCAGTGTTTCATACATCTGAATTTTTTTCTGCGTACGCACATTTAAAGCTTTGTGCGTACGCAATGTTTTAGTAAGATTTCCACGCAAGTCTTCGTACATGAGGCCCCTGGTCCAGATGAGGACACAAGGGCATGTGGACTGATGCAGGGTCTCGTTCAGTTCACTACAGGAGAACAGGAGTGGCTAAACTCAGTCTAGAACTGCTGCTGTCTTGCAGAGTTTAGTTGAAGTTGACTCTAAACTCTGCAGGACACCAGCTGTCCAGAACTGAGTTTGGGCACCCCTGCATTACAGCATTTCCAAGATGCTGCTGCATGTGGACTTCTTTACCCTCACCACACACACCAATCTGCAGATATTTCAGATCAAACAAAACATAAAAAACATTAAAAAAAACAATGTCATTTTACTGTACAATGTGTCATTTGATTTCTGTAGTGCTAGTAATAAAATTATCCTACCTCTTATTTTGGATTCTTTTTTCCTCAAATGTGTTAGTTCCCTTGTCTACAGGTCCAGCTCTATCACAACAGCTCTGCAGAAAAAGCACACACACAACATTAATCAGAAAGCTGATGTAATCACTGTTTGAAAATACAATAACTAATAATAATAATAAATAGCAAATGTAAAATATGTTTTTTTATTTTCTGTACTGTACTCAATAAAAGCCTCCCTGTAACATAGAGACTAGAATAAATCACCTCTGTCATCAGGCCCGGCTCTAGCTTGGAACTTTAGGGTGGGCAAATTAAAAAAATAAACAAATTATATATATATATATATATATATATATATATATATATATATATATATATATATATATATATATATATATATATAATAAAATAATTTATAGTATTCTCTGTCATTCTGATAAAGCAAACTAACTTTTATTTTAAAACTAGTATTTGTACTGCAGATTCTATTTATGTCACTGTTTGCTTGCTTACGTGATGTTTCCAAGTTTTGCAAGAAAACTCCAGAAAAACATGTTGCTCTCCATGAACTATATGGGTGATTCTGTAGTTGCAGGTACATTTAGTGACCAAAGCCATCCTTTTTTCAGCTTTTAAAAAAAATTGTTACATTACATTGTTACATTTTTGATTATTTATTTATAAAATGTGTTCATCATTTTCAAAGATCACATTACCAAAAATCACGATTTCTTGATTTACAAATTAGCCAGTACATATTTCCATCATGCAAAAATAATTTATTTTGCTTTTCTTTAAAGAAAAAATCACCAATATTTTAATTTTAAATGTTTAAACTGTAAACTGTCAATGCTATTATTATCACAATTACAAAAGGAAAACTGAATATTTCATTAATCACATATTTTACAAATAAAAAAATATTTTAAGCCTGATTTCATTAGTATCATGTGATCTTTGCAGTTATAGCAAGTAAAAGGTTTTGCTAAAAAGTTGTAAAACTAAATTACTGTCAATTCAGTTTAAATTTAGTAACTACACATTACGATTTTTCTTGCTATGATTTATTATTATTTCTAAACATTACTAAAGTCATCCATGACAGAGTTGACAAACAATATAAAACTTTTTATTCCCTAAAACATTTAATCATTTGTACAGCAAAAGCTGAATTATAAAAATTAAATATGTTTTAACTTTAGTGTTGGAATTTACAACCTTAAGATGATACCTTTAAAGAACTTCAACATTCCATACTGTTTTCTATAATTTGTCATTTAAAAAAAAATCTTAATGTTGTTATTATTATTTAATGCACCAGAGCCAATATAGACATTAATATTTTTTTATAACTAACAAACAAATTTTTGAATAGCAGATTTTCTTTGCATATTAGCCTACTTATTAGTGATAGCTAATACAGTATCATTTATAGCCTATCAAAAAAAATCTAATTTATTTCGCATATAACATGTTTTAATAAACACACACATGGCGTTTCATGTGCTTTATCATGGCGCTCTGTGTGCGTCGACCTGCTCCCTGAAACATCTTGAATTATCAAGATTTATTCTATTCATTATTGAATTCTGAATTTTTAATATTGTATTGCACTATTGTTGAGCACAGCAGTGAACAGTAACAGTTTAAGATATCTTGTGTAGGATTTTGACGTTTTTCCCTTATCAGTTAAAAAGTCCAATAACAGAGAGATCACATATGATAATTTGAGAGATTTAAAGGGGAAAAAAGACAACACGTCAATCGATAGCACGTTACACGGCTTTCGTATCTAATAAATCGAGTCAGTGATATTGAAATGAGTTCAGTTACTAACATCTCCAAATTTACAGATGAGGTACACACAGCAGCGCGCGTCAAGAGAAGAGCGCGCATTTAGAGAGAGCAAAGCGAAAGCAAGATTATGTGTGGATATGTGTCTATATAAAATATTGATGTTTTTGACACAAACTGCAACAAAGTGCTTTGCACTGGTGTTTGAATTGTGTATTTGCACGAACTTTACTACTGAAACTGCCTGTGATCTGTCCGTTTCTGTGCGTCATTAACAGACTAATTAATATTTGCTCTTTCCGTGAGAAAAATGCTATAATGTTTAAGCGGGCCCAATACATCTCCTGATTATCTCACAGTGCTGTTTAACTGTTTGTGTTCTTTAAGACTTTCTATTGTATGAAATACGACTGCATGAACTGATATTAAAGGGAGGTGCATTTGGTAATGCGCGTTCAGACGCGTGATGCGCACAGAAATCTGCGCTCTATGCTGAATTACTTTCTCTTTCATCTTTTGCAGCCTGAATTGATTAAAATTATTAAAACTAATATTTTTTATATTTAAATCTAATATTTAATTTAATATTTAATTAATATTTATCTAATATTTTAATCAAGATTGTAAATGAGTCTGGCTTGCCAAAACGTGTTTTTTTGAAGCTCACGCGGTCACAAATCCTCAAGTGATCAACTATATACTGATGCACAGATTAAACAAATGACCCTTTATTCTCTTTTAGTAAGAATACATGTATCTAATTTAAACAGTATTGGCAACAGTCAATTGACAGCAGATTCTACATCAGCACAAATACATCACTCACTCAGATGTCTGTTTAGTCTTGTGATCTGCAATACTTCACATTTTTCTGTCAGACATTTGATAATAATCTTTTTTTACCTTTGAAACGTTACTTTATATGTGCTGATTGGAGACCGTAACATTACACAGTCAACATTTACAGCGAAATGAAATAGACTATAATTTAAAGCCTCTTTACACCCTCAGCAATTCTACAGTGCACTGTACAGTAGCTCAACAAATACGAGTTTAACACAAAGAACTGTCTTTGGTTTAATACTCACATTTCAAACTGACCGCGTCCTCTTCCTCCTTCAGGCCGTAGGCTGCGGCTTCCTGGAGTAGAAAGGCATCCACCTGGCGTACTTTTTATGGTTACTAAAGTTTCAAACCTACTCCTTTTCTTAAGGCATGTTTGCTCCTACTATGAAATAATTAAGCAGGCATTTTTGAACGCAAATCAGGTATAGATGCAGCGAATCTCGCAAAGGGGGTTTCGGTTTCGACGTTCAGCCTCCGCAGCGCTAGAGCGGTGACGTCACGCCCCATCCCCTATTGGCTGAATTTCTCTGAGAGCCCACGTTTTGGTTGGCAGATACACAAGTAACTTTTGCACCAAATGTCACAGTGATTTTTGGTGCAGAAGAGCGAGAGAGCGAAATGTAGATTTGCAAGTGAAAAACAGCGCTTGAGACTCGTAGCGGCAGATTTGAGCAGTTGCAGGAACATATTTGTGTTCGTGCTTAGAAAAAAATAATCAAACATTCTACACACGTTCAGCTCTCTTTGTGCGGATACACATTCTAATCTACAGATGTGCAAGTTTTGTCTGTGACTTCACATTTCTGGATGCAGGTGTGTGAATGTGTTTTGCACCATATTCACTGCAACAATAGTAGCAAAGAACATGAGCGGATGAGTTTCTGCATTTGTGATTCGTCCGATGGGATTTGTGCACCTGTACTGAAGAATTTGTGCAGGTGTAAATGTTGCGTTGTGTTTGTTGGAGACAAAAAATACCTACACATTTGCAAATTTGCTCTGCGAGTACAAATTTACTGATACGCATTTGCAAATTTGCTCTGCGAGTACAAATTTACTGATACACATGTGTGGCTATTTTTTACAACTACAAATGACACTTTTACAGCTGCCTGGGAGTTTTGCACCAAAAATACCTTCATAATTTATCATCATCGTGGTATACTATTGCGTTTATGGGAACTGCCTGTGGGAACTCCAGCCTGTCAGCAGATCAAGTCCACAAGTTTCCTGTTGCTGTTTTGGTTCGTGAAATGGGATGAGTCCGATAAGAGTGATAGCTGACGCGAACGGCGAGAAACACTCCTGGATCAGTCGAAGATGCAGCTCGATGAGCTGTATGTAACGAAGTTAAATTTTTTATTGTGAATCCTCCTGAATTATGCAGAAGTTGTATGTTTTATAAAGTAAATGCGCCCTCATGTGGTTTGTTTGGGTACCGCAGACATACAAGTTAGGCAGGAAGTGACCTAGCGCAGCAGATGCTGTGAGACAGTCATGCTATGGGTAGGTGTTTTTCATGCTCCGTCTTAGTTTATCAATATTAACTTAAGAAAGAAGCGATTTCACACATTTAGTTTATAATTCGGTTATATTATCATCAAGCATCAAGTTTGACTTGTGACATGTAGTTTTTGCAAGTTAAATGATTGTGCTCTTTAGCAAGGCCATGCGGTTGATTTTGATTTTCTATTTTATTTAGATGTTGTATGTCTGCAGCAAGCAATCCACTAAAAAGGGCTGTACTGTTTATTATTTCAGTAAAAAGGAGTAAGCAAATACTGTGTCCGGGCCTACATTAAAGAGTATTGCACACAACGCAGAGGAAGAAGAGTTAAAGGACCGGAGACGTTACATGTATACGGTAAGACAACTCTCTTTTTCGTTTAAGTTTGTCAACTTTCATGTCCGTAAGCATTATTCTTTGAGTAATTTGAAGCAACGTGATGTGTTTACTTTGGAGAAGCCGATAACACGGCTGCTAGCTTGTATTGTTAAGCATATTAAATATACTTTTTTTAAAGCGTGTACAAATGTACACATATGATAAGACGGCTAGTAGCATCAGTTTACTAATATAATAATTGTCTTGTATAGTTACAGCGTTGTGACTTTGTTTGCTTTGTGGTGTGTTTATTAGACTTTGGGAGACAGATGATGACCCGGAGCTGAAGGCTTTCTCTCCACTGGCCTCTCGCTCAACTGTGCTTCACTTTGGCTCAGAGTAACCTCAACTAAGGTAAAGTGGATTTTATATTCGCACATTCGATTAGTGACAGCTTGTGTGACACACTCTCAGTATTGTTTACCATAGTACTTTTATTATAATGACTGAAATCACACGTAAATATGACTTAAAAACAACATTAGCACTATTAAACTGACAGTGAACAGTGTTGTACTTTGATAGTCATTGGCTGCTAACATGATATTAGGGATTAGCAAATAATATTCTTCTGAAATTATATTATTAGGGAGAAAGTCAGAATGTGTGAATATAAAACCAATTTTACCTCAGACATTCACCTCGTTCATTGGGTAAAATATTATGACCCCTATCGTGAATTATTTGTGCATGGTATTATTTGATAACAAAAACTAGAAGGGCAAAGAATTACTACAATATTTCTATATAATGCAGGCAGCTAAACTCACACTATCTTTGACTTCCTTTTTTTATTTTAAATATTGGAAACGTGTTACCATTGACTTCCATATCTGTTTTTCCCACTATAAAAGTCAATGGTTACAGATTTTTAGCTTTCTTCAAAATATCTTGGTTTGTGATCAACAGAAGAAAGTCAATAAGGTTTGAAACCGCTTGAGAGTAAAACATGTCCTGTTAATGAGGAAAGACTTTTTATTCACATGAGGATTATTCATCTTGTAGAAGAAAAACAAATAACATTTGAAATTGAAACAATTGAAATTTGTTCTTACGTGCTCAACTTATAATGGGAACAGTCTACTGTATATGTGTTTGCAGTTCACTATCCAGGGGTCTGCAAATGTGGTTGGGTTTTCTGTATTGTGTTATATTAAAAATCATATGGTGAATTTTATGAATACTTTTGCATTATTTCCCCAGAATATGTGCATCAGCCCTCACTGCGTGTCTGACGGTGGACTACTGGAGTTCATCACATGCTCGACGAGAATGCAGAACTGGCCACTACATTTGCTCTCCTTTCTAGATACTTCCAGCGGGTTTACAAGGATGAGGCTGTCGGCATCTTTTTACACAGCATTCACAATTTAACACACATTAAAGACATGATGGTGTGGCACCCATATAAACGTTGGCCAACTTACTGAAAAATAATTTTAGGTTTACTTTTAAATGGGTCAGATGATATATTTTCCTTTCAGTATACACAAACTCACACAGATACTTATGCATATATAAAGAGTAAAAATGCTGGGTATTAACACTGCTTATGATTTTGTGCTATATAAATAAAACTTGAACTTGAGTTGCATTTAGAATTTGAACTTGAATTAGGGTTGAAGTTTATTTAATCATAAATGCAGATCAGATCTGTTGATCAAATCTTTGTAAATATTTTATACTGTAACAACTGTACTTGTCTTTTTATGGATTTATGGTCTTTTTATTGTAGCCTAAATGGGATCTGATACAGATAATCTTATACCCAATGAAAAAAAACATTTAAAAACTTATTTTAATTGTTTTAATATTTGATGTTGTTTTTATTTTAATACAAAAGCTCTGAAAACCTTTTGTAAAATAAAAAAGATTTTCCAGTACCTTGTTTGCATGTTTCTGCATTATTCCAGGCGTTTTGTGTTTTGTATTTACTTATCTACTATTAAAAATAGTGTCAATGTGGCATAACTGTGTAAAATCCTCATTAGTTTCCGTTACTGGTAAGTATTAATACTTATAGATGATCAATACTAGCTTTGCTGTTGCCAGATAAGATTTAGTTATCTTGCATATCTCTCTGTAAGCCAACACTGGCCTCACCATAAACCTGCTCTGTTCTCCCTCACAATAGAGTTAAATTACACTTCTCAGACTGCTGTTCTGGGGTCAGTTCTTCGTATGTGGATTACTCAGTTAGCTGGATTTGGATATTGATGATTTGACACAATCCAGGATCGTTTTATTCTTCAAAGCTGATCCGAGAGTTGTTGTCATAGCAACAGTTCTGCTAGCTCAAACCTGATCAGGAGCAGGTTCAATTCATATAAACAGGATTAGATCGGCTCCGTTTAAGCAAAGATAATCTTTTAAGCAAAAGATAATAAGAAAGTATGTTCCCAATTCTAATATTTTCTTACAATAGTAGTTATATACACTTGGGAAAATAGTAAATATTTTTTAACTATATATAAAGTTAAAATTATTAATAAAATAAAGTTCTACATATTGATAAAACTTGTGCAATCTGCACTCTCGAAATGAAGGTACAAAGACTACCATCTGGTGGTGCAAAGAGAAAACTTATTAATATGAACTTTTTAGATCGCTTTAGTACAATTTGTGTATAATAGAAATGCAGAATATGTGACTTTAAAAAAATAAATAATAATACATTAATGCAGTCATAAACATGTTTTGATAGTTAATATGGTGGGGATTTGAAATATGATGATGCTTTTGGAAAACCAGTTATTCTTTACACCCATTAAAAAACGGCTACTATAATAAAGAAAATCTTCTCTAAATGTAGAACTAAATACATTGATTTGCATTAAAATACATGATGAATACTCTTGACACATGAAAGTGTAAAGCCTGCAGCTCAACAAATGTGGAAGGTTCTTGCGTGTCATATTCAACAAACCATTTACTGCTAATTTTATGTAAATTTGCTCACATGGATAATTGAATATTAATCAGATGATGTCATTACGCTGCTGTGCCGTCAGCCAATCGCTGCATTGCTGATCATGATTTCGAGGATGGATAGATCTGTCCTTCACAACACACGCAGCGATCTCAGATCAGTTCATCCAGACATTCTAATCTGATTCACAAACTTGTTTGAAGAACCAAATTAGCGAGAGATCAGTTATCAAGATTACTGCCAAATCATCTTAGATCATTTAAGCGAGGTACGAAGAACGGACCCCAGTCTGCTGGTCTGTCCACAGGCTTATAATTGTATGGCTGTGGTCTGTCGTTTGTGTGAGTCTCTCAGAATATCTTATCTCGGCATTTAAACGCGCACCACGATCAGTTGTCTTCATAGTGTTTGCGAACTCCCTCATCCGACGTCACTTCCGTTCTGGCGATTTTTCAAATGCGGAAGTAAATTTCCGTGACTAAAAACGACTCCAAACGGCTTTAACTTTAATGTTTTTTTTAAAGAAAATCTAGTTCTTACTTTACTCTTACACACATTGTCTCACTGGGGTGTCTAACCTACAATATGCTCTTTAACAGGCCGGTGGTCGTTTCTGTGTGTAGTTTGCATGTTCTTCCCGTGCTTGTGTGGGTTTTCCCCGGGTCATCCGGTTTCCTCCCACAATCAAAAAACATGCACAACAAGTAAATTGATAAATCTAAATTTTGCACTACAGTTAATCTCTCACCATGCAGCATATCTTTTCATAGCATTCAATTTTTAGTCAGCAGTTTTTATCAAGGGGGAGTTGTCGAGATCTACCTGAGCTCAAGGCTCCCCTCTCGCCCTCCAAATGGGAGGGAGCCCAGGGCTCAAGAACCTTTGAGCTCAGGGCTCTCTCCCGGGACAGCATGCCAAACTTGCTTATAATCAATCATCAGCTAAGTGTGAACTCTTAAAAATGCACTGAGAAGTGTGGTGTAGTGGTATATGCACTTAAAAAGTAATTGCGCATTGACTCTACTACAGGGCCACCTTGGTTTAACTACTGGGTTCTACTGATTTGGTGCGTGAGACTGAAATGCCAGTGATGTTAGCAATTGGTTGTGTTTTGTAAGATAAAATTTTTTGAGGAACACCTCTCCATGTAAGCAGTCTATAATATACACTGCACAAGAAGGAAACACTAAAAGGAGGGTTTAGTTATCAGTGAATTAATGCGTAAATCTAAAAGATCTTTATCAAGACCATCCAACACTAGAAACATTGAAAACCATGATGGGAAAAAGAGAAGAGGAAACTGAGTTTTGACTGGACAGTACTGACAGAACTAAAGGTTATTAATTATTAGTCCAATTGTGCCAAAATCAACACATGACTACTCCCAGCTCCCAACATTATTAGGAAAGAAAAACAAAGAATATAATTTATATTTACAGACATTTATCAATGACTATAGCAGTTATGTTAAATAAAATGTACATATCCTCCTAAGACCCTGCCCATTGACTTGTGTCCTCTGTAGTGTACCTTGCGTTTTCATGAATTTTCTTTGAATTTTTTGAGCTACTCTGTCAAGTCAGTCCTGTTGTGCTGTTCAGAGGACATCCAGGGCTTACTAGTGATATGTCATTTGATTGGCTGGCATGCTAGGAACCACTTCTTACACTGCATCTAAAATGGCTAACATACAAACAAGCACATTTTATGGGAAGGAGAGAGGCATGTAAAATTTAGCTTTTTAAATGTTTTGTACTATTATTATTATTACATATATATTTGTTTATTAAAGTGTCAGGAACAATACATTTAGCTTTCAAAGCTGTTAACTTGTTTGTGTTTCAAAATATCATCCTTTTTTTAATGTCCACTATAGTGGACACCAGGACCATCTTAAATTTGATTTGGATTAACAGCAATTCTTATTGTTTTGTTTTTGTTTTTTTTAGTCTGGCTCTCTTTCAGACTGAACTGTTTCAGGAATTTCAATACAAAAAGAAAAAATCGCTTTTGTTTAGTTTTTGTTACATTAATATTGGATTATTATCCCTTTACGGCCTATCCTGTACAGTTTTGTTGTCTGAGTGGGGGTCGTTTGGAACTAAAATAGTCCTGTAGTCCACTATAGTGGAGATGCTGTAAAAATAAAAATAAAAACAAAATTTTAAAACTCTAGAATTTTTTTTTAACCCAAAGGATGTAGAAAATTACAAAAAAAGAAAAATATATATATTTGGGTCTTAGGAGACACATCAAGGAGGGTATACATCAAAGATTATAACTTTTGGCTACAGGCATGCATGGTACAGGAAAATATTAAATGTGTGGACATGAACAGACAGTAGAAGGTTATATTTTACTGTGTGAAGTCTGAAAATGGAAGGAGGACTAAGTAATTAGTAAGAGTTTAGAAGAGATGAAAAAAGTTAATTTATCTTGAGGCATATTTTACAAAATGATTTAGAAAATTTGTTACAATATATTAAAATCAGTCATTTGTGGGAGAGGATTTAATTTATTATTATTATTATTATTATTATTATTATTAAATACAGTAAAACAAAAAAAGACGGTGGGGAGTCATATTGATCCACACTCCATACCAGTTGGTGGCAGAAATACACGGCCAATAGATTCAGTGTTGTTATGTTATGTTGTGTTAAAACAATACATCCAGATGCACTTTAAATAGGTTCTTATTAACATATTACTTTGCATCATGACGTCATTGCATAATCAAATCTCAAAACTACATCTTCATGTAGAATACAAAAATAATGAATGTTTTCTCAAATTGACTGGCCATCTCAGCAAAAACATTATTTGAAATATGTCCATTTAGATTTGTATGAAAAATAGAGTGAACTATTTGTAAATGTAATGTAAACACTTTTAGATAAGAAATTGTTTTGGGACAACAGTTATAGCACTATTGGATTTTATTGCTACCTAAATTACTAACAATTATACATGTTAACAAATATCCATAAATTAAAAGTTATGAAAAATAATCTGAGCTAGCAGTTTACTGTACTGAGTGAAGCCTGCAGCCGCTGCTCTTTTGAGTCACTTTTTTAAAAATTGCTTAAAGTAGCCAAATGAATGTTAAAAACTGCTAAATTTGTTGCTAGGGGCTTTTTGAAAAAAAAAGTTGCTTGGGTAGAATGAAAAGTTGCTAAATCTAGCAACAAAATGGCTAAGTTGGCAACACTGAACAGATTAGAAGAACTTCTGTGAATGTTTGGTGTATTAAATAACTTAAATAAACCTTAAACTGTATGGACATCATCTTAAACAAACAATATGGTTTTATTGTAAGCTTACTTTCAAAAATCACATTCAGAAAATGATAGATACATGTAATAAAGCAATTAATATACTACAATGTTTGGCAGGTGTTGGAATATCAAATTTTTTTTTGGTTTTTTTCAGTGTCAAAAATCGTAACAATTTATTGGATTAAAAACAAATAATTTGATTCACAGATTTTTGTTATCCTCAATGCAATGCAAAAGTTACATTAAGGAGGTGCGCAACAACTTTCATTTCCTGACTTCAACTTATATAGGCAGCTGATATTAACAGGTGGAGTTTAATGAAATTCATCATTTGCCAATCATTGTCCAGTCCTTCATTGGCCGCACCGCAGACATGAGTCCTCTTTTTCTACGAATTCTG